AATGATTTCTTTTTTTTTTTTGGAAAGATCAATATTCAATGATGATAATTATTGCAATGATCATTACTATTATTATTCGTACTCAAAAATTTATTATCAAATAATATAATTTATTAAGTAGTTTAATAATTATATTGATTTATATTCTTGTAAAGATTGTTCAAATATTCTTTTATGCATTCAGGTTGCATAAAATGATTTTTTTTTTGGAAAGATCAATATTCAATGATGATAATTATTGCAATGATCATTACTATTATTATTCGTACTCAAATTCATGATAATATAATATGATTTATTAAATAGTTCAATAATTCTATTGATTTGTATACTTTCACACATTATTCAGGTATTCTATTATGCATTCAATTGAAAAAAAAAAAAAAAAAGAAAAAAACGATATATTATTTGAAAAGATCAATATTTGATGATAATTATCTGCAGTGATGATTATTATGACTCTTCCTTAAATCATTCAGGTCAGCAATCGACAGCAGTAAGCACTCGTGTCGACGAGTTATATCGAATAGAAAAAAAAACGCTCTCGAGGAAAAAAAGTGCTTCCATCCTCCTCGATTTTCACGTGACGCGAACGTGCGGTAGACAGATAAATGAAATATAAAAAAAGAAAAAAATAAATAAAAAAAAAAGAAGATGGAGGTTTATCGAGAAACATCCTCTCTATGACAATATTTTCGATTACACGAACTCTCGAGTACAATTTATATATACATATATGTATGTATATTGATTGATTTTATAAATAAATTAAATTAAAGAGAGTACCAAAAGAAGGAAAATCAAATAGAAAAATGTAAAATGAAAGCATTTTTCTATTCTATTCTTTTCTTTTCTCTTCTTTTCTTTTCTTTTTTAATTAAATTAAACGAGAATCTGAAAAAAAAATGTGTGTACCATAATAAAGTAAAAAAAATTAAAATTTTAATTAGAATCAAAAGCATATTCGTATTATTATCAAAGAATATTATATTTGTAAAATAAATAAATAAATCATGTATGATGATGGTGTTCGTATGGTGGTGTTGGTAAAATTTGAAAGGTCAAACTTTCTCCATAGGAAAATTCAAACCAAATGCGAGCATCGTTGATTACGTTTAATTCCCACTAATCGCTATCATTAACGATTATAAAATTAACAAGTTCAACAACAACGGAAGGAAGAGAAATTCTTGCGTCATTTGTAAACCCATTTCTAATAATATATAAAATTTACAACAAAAAAGAAATAATAATAATAATAATAATAATAATAATAATAATAATAATAATAATATATAAATTAATTTCTTAAAAAAGATTTACACATTTGTGTGAAATGTTCTCGATGATTGATCAATAAATTCATCTCTCTCCCTCTCTTTCTATCTCTCTCTCTCTCTCTCTCCCTAGCTTTTACACGCCTATTTATTCCATCTTAAAAATCGATCCAATTCACAGCATCACTTGAGAAGCCTCAATCCAAATGTTGAAGTCGAGCGTATTTGAAAGACGACGTGTGTACTTACCTTTCGGCTTGGCTTTCCAAGTTCATCGATCGCGGTCCACGAAAGGGGTGAGAGAGAGAGAGAGAGAGAAAATGAGGAAAATAGAAAGAGAAAGAGAGAAAAAAATATTTAAAAAAAAATAAGTAGGAAAGAGAAGATAAAGAAGTGCGAGACAAAAACGAGGTTGCGACGCCTCCTCTTCTTCTACGAGGGGCTGTTTTACGTCAAAATAAAAATGAAGACACGTTCCCTTTTCAAACTCTCATTTTCTTTCTTTCTATCTTTATTTATTTCCTTTATTTCTTTCTTTTTCTACAACCTTACTCTCTCTCTCTCTCTTTCTCTCTCTCTCTCTCTCTCTGTCTCTCGTACTCCCTCTCTCTTTGTATTTTTCTTTCCTCTTTAACTTAACAACCAAATGTTATAGTTACTTTCAAGGTTTTTCAAAGCATGGAAGTGAAAAGAAAGGTCGAGCAGATTCTCGAGTATACTCGAAAAATCGATCGATATTGATTGATAATTATTCATTTGTAAAGAATAATTATATGCTTCGTAGATGATGTATTGGTAAATGTCGAATAATTGTGTGGGTGGTGGTTGTGGTGGTGGTGGATCTCGATAAAGTTATATAATTTATTGATTAAAGATAATTTGATAAATAATTATATATTAAAAAAAATAAGTCGATGTTTTTTTAAGTGTATTCAATTATTTTTTTTTTTTTTGTTATATTCCAAATATTATTCTTTTTGTTAAATAGTTTGTTAACAATCTATGTGTGAAACTATATATGTTGTTGTACAACATCTGTAAAATTTAATAATAATTATTATTTTATTTTATTTATTAGAGATAATTGTAACACGAAATATTTGAACATTTTTGAAATAAATTAAATATAATCTTCAAAATTAAATAATATGTATAAGTTGTGTATGTGTGTATGGTTTCAATAGAGTCATCATTTTCTTGATGAAAGACAATTTTAGATAAATATTATTTAAAAATAAATCGATGATAAATAAATGCATATTATTCTTTATTTTTAATTAAAAATACTATTATTTTTATTAGATAGTTTGTAGCAGTCTGTGAAAATAATAATAATAATCGTGTTTTTTTTTTTATGAGAAATCATTTTAACAATTCATGTATACAATTCAGATTAATCTTAGTAATTAAATGAAATTTATTGTATTGGTTAGAAATTATACGACTGAGCATATGTATACGCTTATATATGTGTGTTTTTGTGTATGTGCGTGTATGGTAAAAAGAGATAGAAAGATAGGTTGGTTTCTCTTGTCTCTCAATAGGTTGCATCGACGATAGACATCGTCTATTTTTATCGGGGCCGTGAGCACACGCGCGCAACCGATACTTCAGCCCATTTTTCGTCAAAAGACGAGCAGATAGAAAGAGAAATCGGGGAAGGGAGGAATAGACAGTCCTTCTTTCTCCCTCAACGAATCGATAAAACAAAAAAAAACAAAAAAGAAAGAAAGAGAGATGAAAATAATATATTGATACCGGCGAAAAAGCTCGAAAGTATCTCGAATTTGCCGGCAACACGTGGCACTTTTTTTTTCTTTTTTTTTTTTTTTGACAATTATTATAACAACCCCTTATCATCTCTTCGAGAAATACCTGAATAATAATATTACGTTGTTGTTACTTTTGTAAAGAATACATCGTTCAGAAGAAATGAATTTGTTATTATTATTATTATTATTATTATTATTATTATTATTATTATTTTATTGATATATAAACAATTATAATTAAAAATTCAAAAACCTTAATTGTTCTTCACGCTAAAAATCATCAACGACCAGGTTTTCTTTATGGCTACACCCCTTTGCTCTCGGACCGGAACCTTACAATAAAGAAACTGCATCCTCTTTCTCTCTAAATATATTTAATAAATAAAATATATACAAATATATAATATATATATATAAATAATAATAATAAAATATTATAATAATTATAATAAACAATATTTGCTTAGTTAGATATGATCGGAAAACGTTTATATAAAAAAAAAAAAGTAAAATATGTAAAATATATTCAACGAAAATATTTTCTCTTGCTGATTGATGATGATTCGTGTGAATTGTTAATTGGAACAAATTTTTTGCGTTACATTTATTTTTTTGTTTTCTCCTTTTTTGTTTTTTGTTATGTTTTGTTTTAGATTATCGTTGAACAAATGTAAAAAAAAAAAAAAATCGTTTAATCGATTTAACCAAATCTTTGTCTTTGTCTTTACACTCGCAACTATTTATTTTGTTTTCAATTGATTACAATTAACATCACACCGCACGTATCAAAGGGGATTAGAGATTTCATTGTTCGTGAAAATCGACTATGTCGTGAGTGGTGTAGAGGGTTGGAAGGTGGGGAAGGGTAGGGGTGAAAGAAAAAAAAAACAAAAAAATAAGGATGACTGGTTGGAAATAGTAGAAAGAAAAGGAAAAGGAAAAAAGCCATGAAAAACAGTTAGCGGAGTTCACTTTGAAAATGGCAGGGGGTGGAGAGGGGGAGTGGGTGGGTGGCTTTGGTATAAAAGAAAGAGAGAGAGAGAAACGCGCCGGTTAAAGAGAGGATCAATTTGATTGCTCTTTTCCTCAGAGGAAAAGACTACAAAGAAAGTAAGCGAAGTAGACACCAGGCTTCTTCTTCTTCTTCTTCTTCTTCTTTTTCTTTTTCTTTTTCTTCACCATCACCAAGGGACAATGAAATTTTTGTCTTCGTTACGATCGACTATTGACAAGGATCAAATATATATGTAACTAACGATTCGAGATATCGATGATAAGAATCAATTTCGAATAGTTCAAATCGAAGAAAAACAAAAGAGAAACAAAGAGACTAATTCTATGTGGAATTTGAACGAACATCTTCCCCCAATCCCATCTTCACCTTCTTCCCAAAAAAAGGACAAAAGAATAAAATAGAAAATATAATAATTACCAAATAGAATAATAAGCTTTTCTATATCTGATTTGACAAATATTATTAAGTAGAAAAAGTTCAAACAAATCATTTAAATTAAATAATAAATGACATGTGGTGTGTTCTTAGAATTGAAACAACAAGAATCTTTCTAAATTGTAATTATACAAACAAAAATCTACATTTATTTATATAAAATCATCAAAAAAAAAAACAAGATTGATTAGAAATTATTTCTAATCTTCCTAAACGTTCAACAACCATTATCAATACATACGATAAGAAATAGAATGAAGGTATAAAACTATGAGAGAGAAAATGTTTAAGTACCAGATATTCAAGTAGTACAACCGTAATATTAATCATACATTGACATAAAGAAACAAATTCTAAACGAATGAGTGAGTGATCCTTCTTCATCGTAATACAAAAGAGAAAAAAAGACAATATTTTGAAAAAAGATTTTCATACGAATGTGAGTAATAATAAACTCAGACACAGACAGACACAGACACATATTTATATTGTAAATTTTACCTGATTCGATGAAGCTGCTAATCAAATCAGAAATCACTGGCCAATCCCGTCGTCGTCACCATCCGCATTTAACCTCGAATACCTTGCACACGCAGCAGGACGTGGCCTCGTTTCTTCGTTCCTCCTCGACGCCATCCTTTCCAATGTCTTTCTTTCTTTCTTTCTATCTTCCTTCCTTTATTTTATTATTTCTTTTTTTTTTTTATCTATCTTTCACTATTTATATATATTCTCCCTATTTTTCTTTGCTTTCTTTCTCTCCCACCCTCTCTCCCTCTCTCTCTCTCTCTCTCTCGCACACTCTCACACGATTAAAATCTATTTGAATGAAATCATAATGCGTCGTTTCACAAACAACTATTATTCACGTAGCTCACAATACTCTAATTACAACAAAAATAATAATTATTATTATTATTATAATTATGATAAGTAATAACGAAGAATGAAATAACGAGGAAAGAAAAGAATAGGAGAAAAGGAAAAGAGATATGAGAGAGAGAGAGAGAGAGAGAAAGAGAGGGAGTGAGAGAAAGAGAAAAGGAATATAAAAGAAAGACAACACTACCGGGGTTTTAAACCGTTCCCCCTCTTCCGTTCGTCGAGAAACGAAATCTCACTTCAAGGACAAATTCGTAGGGGTTTCCGCGAGCTTGCGCGACCCTCGCTTCTCGCACGACTGAACGACGGGACCTGGAAGCTTGGCTAAACCCGAACACATTTCTCCTCCACCCCTAATGTAGTTCTAGGTTTTCTCGTGTGGCGTCACTACTAGCTTCGTACTTCTCTCTCTCTTTCTATCTCTCGCTCTCTCTCTCTCTCTTTGTCTTTGTCTTTCTCTATCTTTCTTTCTGTTACGCCTACGACTGATACACCACCCTACCTACTACTACCACAACACCACCACCACCACCACTACCACCCATTTTACTCTTCCTATTCCCTGTCCCCTTCACCCCCTACCCCTCCCACGTTCGCGTTTCTATCCCTTTCGATAAAAAGCTTCTCACGGAGTCAGGGGATAATACCATAGTTTGTAGTTTGTTAGAATTCGCCTGGTTTACGTTTTATTCACTCGTTTTCACCAATCAGATGTGGATGATGTTTGCTTGTTTTATTTGATTTTTTTTGTTCATCTATTGTTATTTGATTCTTTTTTCTCATCTCTCTCTCTCTCTCTCTCTCCCTCTCTCTCTCTCTCTCTCTCTCCCTCTCTCTCTCTCTCTCTCTCTTGTTTTCTCTTTCTCTTTTTTTCTTTCTATTTTGTTTCTTATTTATTATTTTATTTTTTAATACTCTTTTCTTTCCTCGTATAAAAAAGAAAAAGAAAAGAAAGTACATACTATGTAATGAAAATGTTAAAAGGGCACGTGTTATTACCATCTAATCTATATAAGATTAAATACCGATCTATATAAGATCGGTATTAAAAGTACTTAATATGTTTTGATTATTATTTCTATTGCTATAGGTTGAAACACGCGATACGAAGTTTCTTTCATCTTCTTGTTTCTTTTTTTTCTTTTTTTCTGTTTTTCTTTTTTTTTTTGGAACAAATTGCAAAATTGTGTAACGAAAGCTTTGACAATGTAATAGAAAAATATTGCAAGAGCGTAGGAAAAAGAGAAAAAAGAAAATATAAAGGGTCGTAGCTTTCAGGGATTTTTATTGAATTTCTCTTAGAAAATGTTCCTTTTTCAATAATTTCATTTGCAAGTTGGTAATCATTGTGTGACACAAAAAATTCTCAGGAATCTTCTAAAAATACATATGTATATACATGTAATGTAAAATAAAAAAAGTGGAATCTAAATGCTATTTAAAAAAAAAAAAAAAAACAAGAAAATGTCAAGAACAATATCAATTATATCTATTGTACAAATATTTTTAGAAATATAAAAAAATATAAAATGTTAGAAACATTTTACTCAAGGTATAACCTTAAACTCTTAATATTTATTTTACAATAATCTTTTATCAAACGATATACATATAAAAGTTGTAAAAGTTCTTTGAAAATAATTGAAAATGCGTCATACATTCGTCTACGTCTGACCCAAGCACGAGCTTTACTACTATTATCAAAGACGAAATGACCACGTTCCTGGCTTTTATTCTCCTACTGCACACGGTTTTCCGTAAAACGATTTATTTCCTCCTTAACCCTCCGATTCTATATATTAAAGCAATATCAGAAAGAGAAAACGAGAAAGCTCCAGGGCTGCTTTTTTTCTTTTTTATTTCGTTTTTTATTTTTTTATAGCTTTTAACTCATTTCAAAATATCTCCAAGAATTTCTCGAATTTCTGTATAACCAGTCCTTTATTTTCCTTTCATTTTATTTTCTTTATTCTTGTAGTCATTTTGTTTATAATTTATTTAAACGTGAACAAAAAATATTACACTTTAAAAAAAAAAAAACAAAAGAAAAAAACAAAGTTGATTATTTAATTAACCATTGGTCTAATTTTTTCTTTTTATTTTCGTTTATTAATTTTTTCATATTTATTTTTTCTCCTCCATCTTACTTTATTCTTCTCAACAGGAGGAGCAACCACCTGTAACTCTGATCGTGAAAGAGAGGAAAAAAAAATGTGTCTCTCTTCTTCCTCTCTTAAAAAAAAAAAAGGCTGAATTTCAGTTTTTCCTCTTCTTCTTCTTCTTCTTCTTCTTCTTCTTCTACTTCTACTTCTACTTCTATTTCTATTTCTTCTTCCTCCATTTTCTTTCTTCGTTCTAACATTCTCACCCTCTTCGTAAAACAGCCACCCCAAGCGTTTTTTCCTTTTACGATCATCACCAATCAACGGCAATCGAAGTCGGATCACCAATCACATGCGACGATTCGTCAAAGATACTAACTCTGTAAATAAAAAAAAATAAAAAATAAAAAAACCTTCCTAACCTATTTTCTTTCACATTCTACGACCCTTTACCATTCTTATCCGATGATTATATATCTTCTTCCATGTGTTGGATTATTTATTATTAAATTGTTTANGATGATTATATATCTTCTTCCATGTGTTGGATTATTTATTATTAAATTGTTTAACAAAAATTTTTTTCTTCCTTTTATATATTTCTTATCATACAAGACAAATTGAAAAATTAAAAAAAAAAATTCATTCAACATTGTCTCTCGGTCATCTCTTGTTTTCATTTGAATTTTATTTTCTTCTATTTTTCTGATTTTCTTTCTTTTTCCTAGTATTGATTAAAATTAATTATTTATATAAAATTCGTGTGTTTATTTTTTTTTTCAGTATTGAAAACAATAATCATTGTTATGACAAAAATTGCCAACCGACCGACGTATCGAATATTCCCCAATCAATGTCGAAACAATTCGACGTTTAATACAATTTTGTTTTTTTTTTATTTCTTTCTTCCTTTCTTTCTTTCTTGCTTGCTTTCCTTTCTTTCTTTCATTCTTTCTTTCTTTCTTTCTGTTATTTTCCTCCCTCCCAGTTCCACTCCATTTTTTTTTCTCTCTCTCTCGTCTGGTCCACTTCAACACCACTCGATTGGTATTTTCCCCCATTCGTTTAAAAAAAGCTCGGAAAAATAGTACGAGTGTCGTTAACGTTAAAGTCACCCCATTTCATTTTTTGTTTTGTTTTGTTTTTATTTTTTTTTTTTTTTCCCATTGAATCAATTCCACCTTTATCTCTTATTATTATTTAATCCTGTTTACTTTTGAACATTAACAAAAAGAGAAAAAATATAATTCACTAACATAAAATTCTTCTTCTTCTTTCGTTGATTCAAAAATAAATCTCGTTATACTCGATTGGTAACTTTTTTCTCAAGAAATTCATCGAAAAATGAAGTTTCGTTGAATTGAATAAAAACAACATATTGAAAAATTGAAAATAAAGAGAATTTTTCTTTATCCTTATTCTTCTTGTGGTATGACTGAAGAAGAAAGGTCATTTAATAAAAGAACGAATTGAAAAATTGAAAATAAGAAGAAATGTTTTTTTTTTTTTTTTCGAAAATTCGTCATACTCCGTCGGTAATTTTTCAAACAAATTAACCTAAAACGAAGTTTCGTTAAATTTAATAATAAAAGAACGAATTGAAAAATTGAGAATAAAAAGACATTTTTCTTTATCTTATTCTTCATGGTATGATTTAAAAGGTCATGCTCTTCAACTTCACGATACCAAAAGACAAAGATTTTCTTTGCCTCGTTGTAATATCAGAAAAAGAAAAAGAAAAAGGATAAGAGTAGAAGGTGGAGGTGAAGTCGTAGTCTGACCTTTTCATGAATTTTTCTTTTACTTGCTCGAAGCTACCTACACACCACCTCTCTCTCTCTACGTATAATTTGACGTTCCTTCGGTCTGTCATGTTTCAAAAACTTTTGTCTGCAGGAAGGAGGCATCGATCCATGAGACGGAGCTTATGAAAATGCAAAGTGCTTTCGTGGAAATGAGGCTAGATGGAGATTTAACGATTACAAAATAAAATGAAATAAAGAAAAGTTATCTGAAAGAGAGAGAGAAAATATACTTTAAAACTTTATTAATCAACATTAAAAGGTTTCTTATAACTTAGACATTAAACTGTTTTGTCCAATTATTGTTTATACTTTCATTAAGTCAACTGTCTTTTTCTTAGAATGATTAAAGTTGTTGGAAAAATGTTAGAAGAAGAAGATAATTGGAATGGTAAGTTTGAAAATAAAATAAATTAATGCACAATTTTTTCTTTTCTTTTTTTTTTTTTAGGAGTCTACGATATTTGCAATCAACGATCATTTGAGATATCTACTGTATCGACGGAGTGATATTTCGAATCGTTACTGAAGATAATTATGAAATATTTTGTTTTATAAATCTAGAATTATTACCGATCGTTCGTATCATAAATTTCTCTATTATCGACATGAAATTTTTTGTGTTATTAATTATTAAATAATAAGTTTATCAATAAAGAAGAATAATGGTAGGAAAGAAAAGGTGAATATTGATTATCGAGGAATCAATCAAAATAGTTTCATTCATAATATATTAATCGAAGCAATTTTGTTACTCTATTATAAATAATTAGATTTTTTAATTAAAACAAAAAATAATATATATTTATACAAGTAAATGTTCATTGAACGTTTTCTCGAATTTCATTTCTCTCAATAAATCACTCGTGTAGTTCTTCATTGTTTTATAAACTTTAGTTGAACTCATAGTAGTTTACTTCAATCTTCCAAAGTTTCTTAAATTTCACTTTCGCAATACTTTTCTTCTCTCTCACATTAGCCATTTTGAGAAACTCACTTACTTTCTCCTTTTCTTTGTTCTTTTTTTTTTATTTTTTTAGTCCCTATTATTTGTTTCGATAATATTGATATATAAAATTGATATACGATGTATATCAATTTTCTGTCTAATTATTTTCTCACCCATTAAGGATGAATCTTTGATATTTTAAATACAACAAAGAAGAACTTTTTAAGTATGAAAAATGTCACCTATTGAAAGACAAGTTTGATTTTCAAAGACATTTTATAAAATCGTACCTTTTTCTTTTCTTTTCTTTTTTATTATATAATTTATTACCTTAAACGTTTGATGTGTGGAAAAAAAAAGGTGTTATAGAACTTAGAATTATGGTCTTGTCAAGGAAGTGTCAAGTTTGATGCGTCTGACATCTTTCATTTAAATGCTTACTATATCTGTAATTTAGTTGCACGTGCAAACGATACGATCGTAACGGATAGATTATGGCAAGTAAATCATCTAAGTATTTTTCAATAAGAATAACAGAGTTTCTTATGAGAATTGTTGGTTTTTGGTATCCTGAGACTACTAGGGAAAAATGGATACTCGATGGAATATTATTGTACACTTTATTAGCTATCAGTACTGCTTTGGGCATCGAGTCTATGGATTTTTATTACAGTTCGGGTGATTTTTACGTGAGTTCAATTGTAATTAATGTAAAAAGAAAGAAAAAGTTTTATCATTCAATGATAATATAGTGAAAATTCGCTAACAACATGAACACAAATAAATATTGTCTTATAGGCGTTAATTTATACAGCGTGCAGTACAATGCCAGTGATAATAGTGTTAATTAAAATAACAATATTTACCCTGCATCGTGAAAAAATGATGAAATTGATTAAATACACCCAAGAGAATTTTTGGTATCAAAAATATGACGATTTCGGTGAAAAGATATTAAATGAGATCGACAATAAAGGAATACTTTTAATGTGTTCCTTTACATTCTTTGTTCAAGGAACTGCCTTTACTTATGCCTTGACACCGATCATAGGTAACGAAAAAATTCGAACAATTTCTTTTAAATCGTTATTATTATTTTTTTCGTATGTGCAATTAATTGTTCTTTTGTGTGTATTAATGGGTCCAAGAAAATTGGGGAAAAAATGATAGCGATAGAATTCTACCATTTAATTTATGGATCGACGTACCAAAAACAACGACTCCTTATTTCGAAGTATTTTTTACGATTGAGGTAATTTCACTTATTATACATTCAATTACATTTTCATTATTGATCGGATTTATTTTCTAACATCTCGGACATTTTTCATTTGACAGACTCTCGCCTTAATACACACGGCCCTTTGTTTTACCTCTTTCGATAATTTCTTATGTCTTCTAAGCATACACGCAGCTGGCCAATTCAAAATACTTCAATACAAACTTAAGAACATTTTTGATTGGGATTTGATGGATTTTTCGAAACAATCTGTTTCAATTAATTACGACAAACTCGTGGATTGTGTTAAAAGGCATAACGAATTAATCAATTATGTGAAAAAATTGGAACGAATCTTTAGTTACACTATGATGTGTCAACTGTTGATATCAAGCATTTTACTTTGCGTTGCTGGATTTCAAGTTTTCCTGGTAAATAAATATTATTTTCTTTTGTTTTATATATATATATATATTGTAATCGAATTAATAACTTTCCTCCATTAAAAATATATAGTCACAAGGAACGTTAATTAGACGAACGATATTCATCGCTCACATCAATGCAGGTTTCTTTCAACTCGTCATAATAACTATGACCGCCAACGAGATATTGATAGCAAGTCAAGCCGTGAGCGATGGCGCCTATGCCTCAAATTGGCCATCTTTGCCACCCAAAAATTTAACCAAAATCAAAACCAGTCTTATAATGATCATGATCCGTTCCAGAAAACCATGTTGCATAACAGCCGGTGGATTTTTTCCTGTATCTCTCGAAACATTTACGGCGGTAATTTAAATTTCATTCTATAACAACTTGATTTTCTCTAGAAAAAATATCAAACTTATTATTATTATTATTATTATTATAATTATGTCTAATTGTCAAGGTTTCTTGTTTATTTTCTAGGTTTTGAGCACAGCGGCTTCTTATTTCGCGTTATTGAGAAAATTCGACGACGAAAATGATTGAAGTTTTTCCTTTGTTTTATTTTGTTTTGTTTTTTTTTTCTTAAATATATAAATCAAATTTACATTAGGAATCCTGTAGGAGGGATGCGCCATTCATATTCAGCTCATGTGCCATTGGCTGAAAATTTTGGGGGACCGCTTGAATTTATAATAATTTTTTCGTTTAACCTATTCTATTTTAATATAAATTTTTAATTATCATTAAATATAGTTCATTTTTTTTCTGTATTCGATGCAATTCATTATTTCATAATTATTTCAATGTTTGAATCATTCGCGCGCAAAATCGAGTTCCGGTCCCCCAACAATGTACATGACGCATCCCTCCTATAGGATCCCTAATTTACATCAAACAAATTTAATATCAATAATATTATACATGTAATACCGTGTGCTATTATAATTAATCCATTTGCACTCCGCACAACTTTCGACGCTGGGTAGCAGCAACAACTCCGCGCGATTTCGTGGCAGAAAAATGGCACATGTACAGACCCTCGTATTATTTAGTATAACTTTGGAACCAAGTAATGGATTCTAATGATATTGAACTTATATTAATCTGTAAACATCAAGGAACATATTTATCTAAAGAACTTTCACCAAAAGAACTTATTTACCAAGAGAATGTGTGTATGTGTGTTTGTAATAGCATTGCAATTGAAAAGAAAGCGAACGTATTCCATAGAATTCGAAATGTGACATTATTTGATAATATTTCTTTGTACATTATAAATCTTACTATAAAATGCGAGATATGCTCCCATAAAAATCTTTCTTTTATAAATTCTTCTTATCGCTCTTCTCAAATTTAGCCAAAAAGTTCTCAGACCGTCGTGACCGCACCCGTCTCGCATTCTCTTCCAACACAAAACCCCTCTGACATTTTGTTTTTTATATATCTTTGTTATTTTACTATATTTTTTTTTGCATGTCTCAAAAAGTTGTGCTGAAATAACTTAATTCACCGTAATCACTAATAATCTTTAATGTCTCATACAGTGAGACAGCGAAGTGCAAAGGGTTAATAATTGAATTTACAATTTTCAACTATTGATAATTTAATTATGAAGTCGTTAAGAAACGACGATTATATTACTTTTTTTTTTTTGTATCTTTCATTATCATCCCTCTCCGTGTTATTTTAAGGTTTTCCACTATTCTTTCTGTTCTATCCGTGTATTTTATTCGTTAAACTATCCCACGTTACAACCCTCTTTCTTTCTCTCCCATGTTCTCAAGAAGACACGAAACTATTATTATTCCTATTCTTTGATCTATTCCACAATCACTCAGCCGTCATTTTTCTTCATACTCTATAATCCCAATATCGACTATCTTTTTATTTCAACTATATTTCTACCTCGTTGAAAGATCTTAATAATTTATCCCGTATTCCGTTTATAAGTAGTATACTTTTCATTAGAATTTTTTGTCCTTCTCACTTTTTTCTTTCTTGTCATAATCAATTCATCGATAAAAACCTTTGTTCTTTTCCTTAAAAAAAAAAGAAAAAAAAAGAATCATATATAATAAATTGACTTTTAACATTACTATCCTATCATACACACAAAAATTATTAATATGATAAAAATAATAATTTGATTATCATAAGTCCATTCGTCGTTTCATTTCCTTTCATGTTTCCTTATAGATGTTGGTTTTTTTTTCTTTTTTTCTTAAAGAAAAGAAATTTATCTATCTGTCTGTCTCATTTTGTTCCAATGTATTATTACTCAACTTTAAATTAATAATCAATAGAAGAAAAAAAGAACACGTTAGAATCTTCAAGATTTCAAATGATCATCATCGACGTTAGTATATCACGTGAGAAACAATGAAGAACAAATCTAAATTTTTATCGGTTAACGTGGCACGATTTTTAATGAAAACTGTTGGTTTTTGGACAGCGGATACGATTAATGAACAACGTTTATTAAATGTAATATTTGCTTATACCATCTTTGCAATTGCTTTAGCTTTATGGATCGAGGCTTACGATTTTTATATTAGCTTTGGTGAATTTTACGTGAGTACTTAAATTATTTGATATCTTAAATTGTCGTTTAAACATTAAATTATTCTATTAAATGTTTTGTAGGCTATTACGTATACCGCTTGCAGTTCGATGCCAGTTGCAGTAATTATAATGAAAATAATTATTTTTCTACGTAATCGTAAAGACATGATGAGATTAATACGATATACGGAAAAGAATTTTTGGTTCAACGAGTATGACGAATTTGGTGAAAAGATATTAAACGACGTTAATATGAAAGGAAGCATTTTAATTTGTTGTTTCACATGTTGCGTTCAAAGTACTGTATATACTTACATGTTAACTCCTATAATAGGTATATTATTATTATAATTGTCATTAGTTATTTCGGTATTCAATTTTTGTGTCCTTTAATTTGAATGATTTTATTCGTAGAAAATATTGGCAAAAATGAGACAGACAGAATTCTTCCTTTCAATGTTTGGTTGGGTGGTTTGGACACACATTTATCACCATATTTCGAAATTGCATTTATAATGGAGGTGTAACGCAACGATAATTTATTTATTAATAATAATAATAATAATCATTCGAATTATTTTGTTAATAATGGTCATATATCATTTTCGCAGATTATCGCGTTGATACATTCGGGACTTTGTTTCTGTTGTTTCGACAATTTTTTATGTCTGTTAAATTTAACAGTAGCCGGACAATTTCGTATACTTCAACATCGATTAGAAATATTGTTGGATAAAAGTGTATTGTGTTATATGACTCAGGATAAAGTTTGTCAAGACGAGGATGCACGAGAAACTTTTGAAGAATTCAAAAGATGCGTTAAACATCATCGTATGCTTATCGATTATGTCGAACAATTGGAAAAGATATTTACGATGTCAACATTGTGTCAGTTATTGATGTCCGGTATTTTATTATGTGTTGCTGGATTTCAAGTTTTTCTGGTAAATTGAATAACAACAAAAATTACTTACTTTTTTTCATTCTTTTACTTACCAAATATTAACTATTGCAATAATTCATTTTATAGATCATGTTTTATTCTTCGTTGATTAATTGTCTCCTTTGTCTTTTGTTTTCTTTTTATTAAAAGGCACGTGGAATTATAATACGTCAATTAATATTCATAGCACATATCAATGGTTGTTTCTTCCAATTATTTGTAATAACATTAGCCGCTAATGAAGTAATCATCGAGAGTCGTGCAGTAGGTGACGCTGCATATAATGCTAATTGGCAGACATTATCTTACGAACCATATAAAAATATTCGAATGGGAATCATTACGATTATGGCTAGAGCTGATCGACCATGTTACATTACAGCTGGTGGCTTTTTTCCTGTTTCCCTTGAAACATTTATGGCGGTAATTAATCTTCGTCATTATCATCCACAAAATTCTTATTCTCATTTATCTATAATATTATTGAAAAATAATATAATTTATTAATTTTAAGGTATTAAGTACTGCGGCATCGTACTTCGCGTTGTTACGTAAGTTTGCCGAAGATGAAGAATCGAAAGGTGAAACGATGATTTCTTAATCTTGTTTCTGTTTAAAAATTCAAAGTACAAAATATTTACTTACTTCTCGTATTAATTTTATTAATCAAAGAATATTATTACGTATGAAATAATGATAACTATGATTTATCATTTTTATCAGATATTTTTAAGACAGTTTTTCTTCCTCCTATCATCGTCAATAGAAATTCCCGATTGTTATTTCTATTAAAATTATTTTTCTAATTGATAATACACGAAAATTCATCACTATACTGCACAGTTTGACTGCACTGACAATCAGATTCGACACTAAAATATTCGACACTTGTGACTGCTTTCACAGATCAGATATATTTCGTGTCTAACAAGAAAAAAAAAAAAAAGAAAAAACACTGACACCTAAAAATGACCGTAATCATTTTCACCAGATCGAAGAAAATCTCCTTAAAAATCTCCTCGTCTTTGATCGGTACAAATCCAAAAATGAAGATTATAGACCACGATAGAGGTATTCGTAGAAGACCTAAGTTTCTAGCATGACAAGTATCATTAAATCCTGACGAAAGATAACAAAAGATGACAATAGATCAAAGCTAAAACTGACAACTAACAATGACAGCTACTTATTATGATAATCATTCGTCACAAGTCAACGTCAAAAAAGACACCTATCGTTTTAGATTCGAGTATAGTTGAATAAGTAATCCTAACACGCACATGTTCATACATACACACCATGCAGGAGGATCATGTAGAACAAGACATATCGATAATATTGACCATCTTTTTCATGAAATTTGCCGGTTTTTGGTTAGCCGCCAATCCATCGGAACAATTTTTAAGACGAATTGCATTGTATTACACTGCTGGTGCTGTATCTTTCGCAGTTTACGTCGAAGTAACAGATTTTTATTATTCCCGAGACGATTTCTCTGTGAGTTTATTATTACCATTATTATTAGTAAACATTTAATCCTTTCGTTAAATATTTATATATATATATATATATCGTGATATTAATACTACAAGACCTTTTTTTATGGTCCTGTAACAACGAAAGGATTAATCAAATTGTTCTAATATTAATTTAATATTATTAATAACGTTCGTTATACAGGAGACGATTTATATCATGTGCAATACTATGACCCTCGTAATGGTTTTATGTAAAATGTTTATATTATCAGTTCATCGTAGAAAATTTTTATATCTCATCAAATACATGCAAGATTATTTTTGGAATTCTCATTACGAGCCCTATGAAAATACGATCATTAAGGATTGTAGAAAACAGTGTACGTACTTTGTTTGTTCGTTCACTTTCTTCGCTCAGGGTACCGTTTTTACTTACGTTGTAACACCAATTGTTGGTAAGTGTTTTTTTTATTGATGATTAATTAATTCGATGATAGATCATAGATCTTTTTGTATAGTTTTGTAGAAAACATTGGTAAAAACGAATCTGATAGGATACTTCCATTTACAATGTGGGTTGATCTACCTTTTTCTATGACACCGTATTTTGAAGCAACTTTCGTAATACAGGTATTTTATTTTAATCATTAATATATATATATATATATTATAACATATCGTTTCATAATCTCCGAAAATTTGTCCGTTTATCATATTCTAGGTATTATCCCTCTATACCGTTGGCATTTGTTATTTCTGCTTTGACAATTTATTATGTATCATGAACCTTCACACAGCAGCCCAATTTCGTATTTTGCAACATCGTTTAATGAAAATTGATCATGAGAAAAAAATAGATAACAACGACAATTGTGATTCTTATTCGATTAATCGATTACAATTTGTTTATCATAAACTTAAGAAATGTATTGAACAACATCAAATGCTTATCAATTATTGCGACGATTTAAATCACGTATTTACATTTATTATACTTGGTCAGGTATTGCTCTTCAGTATATTGATATGTCTTGTGGGCTATGAAATACTTATAGTGAGTAGAAAAAATATTATAAAAAATAATGAGAAACTTTTTGTTATTTTTTGTATGTATTATATGAAAAATAATTATGTATGATTTTGAATTTGTTTATGCACTTTTTTTAGGCAGATACAGCTCCAACTAGACGCGCCAGTTTTATATTTTATATGACAGGTACACTGATACAATTGATGATGTTCACATTTAGTTGTAATATATTGACAGAAGAAAGTAGGGACGTTGCTGAAGCAGCATATTCATCATCATGGATGTCTATGCCCTTAAATAAAATTGGTAAAGTCTTGAGGAATGATATTTTACTGATTATTATGAGATCACGTAAACCTTGCAGCCTATCTGCCGGTGGATTCTTCAATGTATCTTTGGAAACTTATACAGCAGTAAAATTGTCTTTTTAATTATGTTTTTTTTTTTTTCCCCAATTAATTTTTAAACAATTTCTCAATATCAAATTGAATTTCATTTTTAGGTAATGAGTACCGCAATGTCGTACTTTACTTTACTCAGACAACGCAGTTTGGAAGTAGTTGGTGTTTGATTGATCTACGTTATACAAAAATTAGCTCTCTTTATAAATGATCTTTTAAATAAATCTTATTTGAAAGTTTAATTACTATTCTCTTATATATTGTCTACGTAAATTCTTAATTAATTGTATTATGAACAGAAATGAAATCTGTATTGAATTTGATTTCATGTATTACCGATGATGATGTTGTTACTACAGTCGTAACTTTACATTCTCGATAGAATGTTGTTTTTTCTTTTTATTTGTTTAAAATAATGCAAAAAACACTCTTATCGTACTATATAGTACTAATATTTATTATTAGACGGAAAAAAATAAAAAAATAAAAACAAACAAATAGAAATTTGTAAAAGGTGCAAATTATAATAGTTTTTTCATATATGAATATAAACTGTGTTGACAAAAATTTACTTCTTCTTATTAAGAGTATCCATCAAAGCTTTGAAAGCTTTTATACTTGCAGTACGAATTTCATCGTATTTCACAATTTCAGATTTAACACGCTTAAACCACTTACTAACATTCTGAAATTTACTGAAATCATATTCCATAAGCTGAAAATAATAATAATAATAATAATGAGATCAAACAAATTGTCTACGAATTATCTGAAGTAAATTATATCAAATTAATTAATTATTCTCATATTTTGTGTTACATATTTTACCTCAAAATTAGAAACAGTGGTTGCTATAGAATGATCGGCTATCGTCAAATTTTTACCAGCGACGTATGGATCCTTTTCTAAAAATTTATCAAGAAATTCGAAAGCTTTTTCAATCTTCTCGTATTTGGTATTATCTTTAGGTGCTCCAGCAAAGATCATTGGATACTATATGAACAAACATGTCACTTGTATAAGTATGTCATTATTAATTTATAATTAATTATTATAAAACATACGTATATATAACTTACGTAATATTCGGCAAACGATTGATACAAAATATTAGCGTCAAAGAACAATCTTTGATTAACAATGGCACGTTTCTTTGGATCTTTTGGATACAATGAATCATTCTTTCCATACTGATCTACCAAGTATCCCATAATTGCACGACTGTGAGAAAATAATTATTCATTATCTCGTAACAATGCTAAATACTAGCACGGAATAATTGGACATACCTTTCCCATAAGTAAAAACCATTATCATCGATGGTAGGGATAGTGTGTTGTGGATTCATCTACGATAAATCATAATTGTTTTTTATTTTTTTTTTTATTATTTAACAAAATGAAACGAACTTTTTTTGTTTCAAATGAATTCAATTGAAATATATGCTTTACCTTTAAAAATTCCGGTTGTAAATGTTCACCTGTCATTAAATTAGTTTCTTTCAAATTTAAATTAACTCCAACAGCAGCGGCTGTCAAACGAACAGCCGAGCATGGTGCACTTCCTGGTGTTTGATAAAGATCGATCGGCATTTTGTCTCGTTCTATGAAATAATATAACAACATTATATATTTAAATTCTATTGTCACCTTGATTATCAATAGAATTATATTAAAAAATAATTTTTACAACAATCAATATTTCATCATTGATCAAATTTATTTGAATGTTATTTCTTATCATCATAGATAATGAAAAGAAAAACAAACACTGTTTATCTTTGATAGATCTGATTATCTAACTCTTACCACGACATACGGTGCATTTGAAACAAATGTTCAAACTTATAATATTATATGTAACATATTTCTTTTTTTTCTGATCGAAATTTATCTGCAAAATCTCGAATTATTATTAACAATTTGAACTTTTACAGAGTTAAAAAAAGATAAATTACGAATTGTCTTTATTTATTTTATCAAAAAAAAAAAAACGTCCAGCTTACAATTAGAGTTTTACGGTATTGTATTTCCGTCTGTAATTTAAAAAAAAAAAAAAAAAAAGAAATTATATAAAGAATATTAAATGTAACATTTTGTACAATTTTGTTAATTAAATTATACGAAACAATTGACTAAACCATACATCGTTCACAAGGACACTTTTCATTTGCCTATCGTTGATGGAAATAAAACATTTTATACATTGGAGCTTACGAATTCAAAAAAAAAAAAATTAGAAAAATAAAATATATATATATATAATTACACGCAGCAATCATGCTCAAAGATAAAATGAATACATGCATTCGTTTAAAGATTTTGAAACATCGTAACAAATCACGATTCATCTCAATTCAAGGTCAAATGTCTGGAACGTTCTCTCTTTCAATCTTGCCTAGTTTCACACATTTAATATACAAACTTTGATCGATGTTCACTAAACTACAGACATTTCAATGAATATTATAATTTCACTAAAAATTTGTTATTAGAACACATGCCTTTGTTAAATATAATAATAATAATAATCAAGAGATAATATGAAAATATTAGTCTAAACAAACCTGTTTTTTGACTTAAATGGCTTGTGAATGTTTTCAAGTTGATTGTTACAGTCACTCTGATCTAATACCGGTTCTACAAGCTTTCTATATAAATGGTGACAACTACTGTGCTGCCTCTCTCGTTGGCAAGTATTCTGCTCACCAAGAGAGGGAAAGATAAAGTGAAACACAGAGAGAGAGAGAGAGAGAGAGAGAGAAACATAAAAATATTATTCTAGGTTGTTCTGTAATATTACAGTTTAACGATGACAACCATGGGCGTTGCTATTTGCCCTTTTTTCGATAAGCATCATTTTACATACATTTATATTTTATCTCACATCAGTTAACTTTAACAAGTTTCAATATATTTTTTTTTTTTATTTAATCTTTATTTTTTAATATCCTTGTTTTTTGTTTTTTGTTTTCAATTACCACAACTGTGTGTTTCTACTTAGTAAAATATTTATGGAAATATGCTAAAAGAATTTTTTAATCATTACCAAACATGGTTATTGATTTATTACTTCTTGTTAAATATTCCATTTGATTTTTTTTTTGTTTTTTTTATAACCTTGTTCCTTTTTAACACAGTTATTAACACAGTTATTTATCAAATATCCTTCGATCATTTTTTTTTTCTTTTTTCCTGGTATCGCACTTAAAAGATGAATAATTCTTATGTTTTTTTTTTTACTTTCTATTTTTAAACATTACATTGTTTGTATGTTATAACATTTAAAAATAGCATATCATTCTTCAATGTATAGTTAGAAACTTTTCTTATCGCTTTTTTTAAATGACTCGACAATATCTTCAAAAAAACAATGAAGAAAATGTCTAAATCATTGATGATATTTAAATGTTATTGATCAATCTTGTTAGGAAACTAATTAATCGAATTCTACAAATTTGTTATAATGTTAAATATTTTAATTATTTATATATATAAATGAATATTTGTATATTGTAAAATGTATAATTATATTGACGAGAATCTCACTAATAAAAAGGTACGATTTATTGAATTCTTTCACGTAGCTTTCGATCGATATTTCAAGGACATTTACTTGATGTGTTATTTTTTATTATAATAAAGTCAACATCATCAACGATAATTGTTGTTTTTTATATAAGCATGACTTGCATTATATTGCTAGTTTCCAAATGATACTTCTTATTTCAATTTAATTTAAAAAAGTAATCAATAATAATTGCATTAAAATAGAATGATAGATATCTTTCGTAAAATTTGATAAAACTTTACTTTTTACAAATAAAACCGAATTCTTACATAATATAGAAAAGCATCCTGCTTTGTCATTGTTTAATGCCACTTAATACAACCTACTGTGACTCAACAACATTCAGAAAAGAAATAACATTTTTCTTTTTATCTTTGTCAAACGATAATCATTATGGAAAGTAAATACGGTATTTTAAATAAAACTAGAACGCGTTAATAATTATTTATTTGTTAAATTCAAACGATAACGTGTTGCATAAATTATTTGTTCAAAAAAAAAACAAAAACCATAAATATATTATTTCAAAGGTACTTTAAGAAATAATAATTATAACAATGATGAGTTTCTTGAATCTTTTAAATAATTAACGTAATAAATGTCATTCGTTGATAATGCAGATCTCAATAAACTACTTTTATCGACTATTATTAAAGTTCTCATCAGTTTATGATAAGGTAGAAATTTATTTTAACATTGCCATCTGAAACAACATAGTTATAAAAGTAAACACCAATCAAAATGTAGCATTAGAACCAGTGCTCATTTGATTGGTTCTAATTGATAAATAATTATATTCTCTTTTATACGATTGTCATCGTTGCAATTGGCTACAGTAACTAAAATTGCGCGGTTTAAAATAAGATTCAAAAATTGATTTTACAAATTTTTCTGACATTTAACAAATTTTAATATGAGTAAAATTCTTCAAAGTTTTGATGGTGTTCAAGGAAACGACGTTTATATATCATTCTTAGTATGATTGAAATTTATTATTTTTTAAATAACTTTTCAAATATGTATTTAATGTTTTCCAATAATTTTCTAGTTTATTATCTAAATTTTATTGTATTTTTGTTTACATATTTCTATACAGTGTATAAATAAGTGTGTGTTAGTTATTATTCATTACAAAATATCAAATAAAATAATTGTATCTTTGACATTAATTGTATATAAAACATTTATAGGTTATGTATATTTATATATATGATATGTTGACTATGTATATATGAGATTATTAGAACATCTATTTTATAAACTACGTATTTCAAAATTTTACTATATTATCTAGTAGAAATAATAAGAAAATTAAATATATCTAGGTAGTAGGTAAATCAGCATTATGTAAACTTTTATCGGATGGACTTCACGTGAATGCAAAAGAAAATAACTGGCACATAGAAGTACACAAATGTGAATCCATATCAGAAGTATTAGAGAACAACATTTCTATACAAATTGATTTCATCATTTTTGCATATGATTCATTAATGTCTGCATCGATAGACTGGGTAAATGATTTTATTCATTCAATATCTTTTTCATCATTAAACTAATAATTATTATTTTTCAATCTTATCTTAGATTGAGACAAATATAGGTCTAATAGATGAACATTTTGTAATATCTGGTGCTTGCTGTTTAGTGCATGATAACAGTACATTAGATGTAATGGGTTTTGTATTTCATAATTTAAAAGAAATACGCAAGAAATATAACATACGATTTTTATCTACCAAGATTTCTGTAAGTTTTTGCATCAAATAATTATTTATATAATTTCTTTTTAGATCAATTTTCTAATTAAAATTTTATTTATCTTTTCAGGATCCTAAACAATTTAATGACTTAATAAACAGAATATTAACTTTAGCATCGACAATATTAGGATTAGAAAATGAAATACCTACAATAATAAATACACCATGAAATGATTATATCAAATATTGCATATCTACATGTATTTATATACACACATTCATTTCTCTACGTATTTTATAACCTAACCTTTTTTAATGGCATGGTTTAAATCTATCTTAGAGTAAGTTATCTGTCATTGGATATTGAATTTTTATTTTCTGAACAGTACCATCTAGTGAATTCACCTATGTACTAGCATGATAACCAATCAGATTGATAGAAAATTGGTAAATGTTTTACCAACCGAATAAAAATTTGTGTTAATATTTCTATAATTTAGCTTGCACGTTCTGTATGAAATTTATTTCAGTTTGATTTTATTATGGACGTTACCGTACGCTTAACAACACGTTTTCTGTTCGTGCTTTTTTTTTTATCAACGTTATAACATAAATTTGATACATTAAATGTTACTCAATAATTAAATAAGAAAACAGGTGATTATCGTTCACATTATTTATGAATATATATACCTTGAAAAATCTTTTAAATAATATTTTCATTATACTTTAAAAGAGAGACAAAATATATACACATACATTTACATATTTTTGTTGAATAATATGTAATATATTTACTAATATTACTCAGGATATTAATATTTGATTTCTAAAATGAAAAGAACTTCGAATAAGTGTCAAGCATACGTGTCGAGTGTAGAAGACAGTGAGAATGAAAGTGATGAAACAGAATGTAGTATTGGTAGTAATTCTACAGCCGGTACTCATCGTAGTGATACACCAACACGTAATGCTCGTTATAAAAGGAAAGGAAGAAGAAGAAGTAAGACAGCAAAGAGCAAACCATGCAATGACAAACAGCTTTACAAATTTTGTTGTAGTATAAAAGAAGATCATGGTCAACCGCTCTTTGGAGTACAATTTAATCATCATTTGAAAGCAGATCAACCATTAATGTTTGCTTCCGTAGGAGGAACACGTGTAAGCATTTATGAATGTCCACCACATGGTAACATTAAATTACGCCAATGTTATACAGATCCTGATTCCGAAGAAATTTTTTATACATGTACTTGGACTTACGATGATAATCAAAAACCATTATTAGCTGTAGCAGGATCTCGAGGAGTTATAAGAGTAATTAGTACAGTATCAATGACTTGTATCAAACATTACATCGGTCATGGTCATGCAATAAATGAATTGAAAACTCATCCTAAAGATTGTAACATATTACTATCTGCGTCTAAGGATCATGCGTTGAGGTTATGGAATATTAAATCGGATGTATGTATAGCAATTTTTGGTGGTGTAGAAGGCCACAGAGATGAAGTGTTAAGTGCAGATTTTGATATATTGGGTCAACGAATTATATCATGTGGAATGGATCATGCTTTGAAACTTTGGTCATTAAATAAACCAAATATGAAAGCAGCTATCGAGCAGTCATATCATTCTAATCTTAGTAGAAATGGAAGACCATTTGATTCTATACTTCAACATTTTCCAGACTTCACAACACGTGATGTACATCGTAATTATGTTGATTGTGTTAAGTGGTACGGTGACTTTATTTTAAGCAAATCTTGTGAGAATTGTATTGTATGCTGGAAACCAGGACGTCTTGAAAATGACAAATTAAATAATGGAGAAACAAGTGCTACTGTTTTACATCGTTTTGAATTCAAAGAGTGTGATATCTGGTTTATTAGATTTTCTATGGATTTTATGCAAAGTACTATAGCTTTAGGAAATCAAATTGGTAAAACATATGTATGGGACTTGGAAGTTGATGAACCTGGTCAAGCACGTTGTTGGACATTAATAAATCCACGTTGTAATGCAGCAATACGACAAACTAGCCTAAGTCGAGATGGCAAAGTATTATTGTGTGTTTGCGATGATGCTACCATTTGGAGATGGAATCGTGAAACTCGTGATAGTCGTGAAAATGTAACTAATAATTAACAATTTAAAATAAAATAAAAAACTAACAGTAGAACTCGTTATGTTTCAAAGAAACATATTAATTTAGTACATATTTTATACATAAACAATTATTACAAAGCATTTTGTAACAATTTTATAACTGTATTGATAGTTATAACATATAACTATGACATTTCATATTTTTTTGTTATGTACAATCCATTATAAACTTATTCCAGAATAAACTAATCTTTAATAAGAAATAGTTTCTTTTAATTATAGCTATATATATATAACATTGATATTTTTACTTTTTTTATTACTTGTATGTTTAAAATGAATTAACATTTGTTCAATTATGAAATGTAAAGAATTTTTATTGATAAAATATGTGTATTTGTTATTGAAGATAATAGTCTTGAAAAAGTTCTGTTTTTTGAATCATATTGATTTTCCCGCCATTGGCTAGTGCTCCATGTTTTTTATTGGTTAATGTTGGCACTTCTTATTTCACACGTATAAACGACCATTGTACTTTGTGCAGTAGTTCATTTCATCATATTAAAATAAATTTATGGTGTAGATTACTAATACTTAATGATTTGTTAAAAATATAATATCATCCTTTTATCAACATACATATATAAATATATATGTATATTTATTAACTTATAGTTATTGTGTTAACTCTAAAAGAATTATTCACAATGGTAAAAATTATTATTTTATTAAGTAATTACTTTTTATAAACATTTATATATAAAATAAGTTTAATAAACTATAAAATCTATATTTTATGTTAATAAAGTAAAAAGTTAAAACGTGTCAATACTATTTCAATTACTATCATAGAAGTAAAACATTTGATAAATGCATATGTACATTTTGACATTATAATAATATGTTTAATCTTAAATTTAATTTATGTTAATTTAGAATTAAAAATTTTACACAACAACTTTTTATATAATTAATGTATTAATTATAATTATTCTACTTGTATCGTTGTCATATTAGATGTATTCAATATTTTTAACGTAATGTCAAAGTCAGTCATTGGATGTTTACACATCAATTATATTTTATTAAATGAAATAATTCTTTTTAGCATGGTCGTGTTAAGGTACGCACAACAGCTGAACAAGAGGAGATACAAAAGAAAAAAAAAGCTAAGAAATTAGCTGAATATAAGAGTGCTATGACTGAGATATTTAAAAAGGTTTCTATTTCAATTTTTCTATTAAAACAATTAACACACATTTTCTTGTTAATATTTGAAATATAGTATAGAAATAATCTATCGTCATGTTAACAAAGTATTTTTATTCTGTTAGAACAATTTGTTTATCCAATTAGAAATATTTGATTTTGTTAAATATGAAGCAAACAACTACATATTAATCTTCTTTTCAATTTAGAGGGAAGAAAATGTATTGGATGACGATATGTTATTTTTAACGGAGAACGTTCTTTTAGAAAATTCAGATATTAATACATTGTGGAACATACGTCGTGAAGTATTTCAAAGTAATAATCGGTAAGATAAATATTAAATTAAAGAAATATTATATATATATATATATCAATATATTAAAAAGAATGAAATTCATTGATAATATAGGAACGAAGATAATTATACAAATTTACTTACAAGGGAATTAACGTTGACTGAAGTTTGTATAAGAAATAATCCTAAGTCTTATAGCGTGTGGCATCAAAGGTGGTGGGTAATGGAACATTTACAAAAACCTGATTGGGTTAAAGAATTAGCTTTATGTACAAAATGTCTTAATATAGATGAAAGAAATTGTAAGTGTTTCATAAAAAGAATTTGAAATATTAACGTTTATGTGTGTATGTGTGTGTATATATATATAACGATATATTCTTTATTTTGATTCAATTCAGTTCATTGTTGGGATTATAGAAAATACGTGGTAGAGAAAGCAGGAATATCTGATTTTGAAGAATATAATTACTCAACGACTAAAATATTAAACAATTTTTCTAATTACTCGTCGTGGCATTACAGAAGTAAAATTCTTAACAAATTATTTCCTAGCGATTATCAGGAAATACCAATTACACAAACAAAATGGGAAGAAGGTAAACATATTTAAACTAGTATTATAACATATTTTTTTTTAATGTGATTCAATTAAATAATAATTAAATCTAACAAACAACACTATCGATATTGTTGTTCAGAACTTGATTTAGTTAAAGATGCAACGTTTACGGATCCTAATGATACGAGTGCATGGTTTTATCAGAGATGGCTTTTAGATGATTATAAACCTAAATCTCATTGTGTATTATGGAGATCTCGTATTACAACTAATAAGATTGACGCTGTATTTGATAATGAAATATCTGGATCGTCTGAAAATATTTCATTGTTTATTGATAATAATAAAATAGATGTTCAATGGAAATCGTACATGGGGAAGAGATTTTCTAAAGTATGGATCGGTATATTATCTACTTTGTTAAAGAATTTAAGCGATTTAAAAGACGTTCGCATTAATGTTCAAGATAAAGAATATCAATTTAATTATTCGCATGAAGAAAATGCATGGATATATAAAAATAATTTGTCAATTAAGGAATATCATAACAAAAAACAATTACAAGATCAATTAGAAAGTTACAAACAATTAGCAGAACTGGAACCAAGTAATAAATGGGTTATATTAATTGGTATATTTCTTATGAAAAAACTTAATTTTCTTTCTTATTATGATACTATAATGGACAACTTAAAAACATTATGCACATTTGATACTCTACGTTCATACTATTATAAAGATTTACGTAAGCATATTATAATAAAATATATTCTTTTGAAAAGTTGTCAAAAATTATCAAAGTATCTCTCAATGATCTATATTTCATTTTTAGGTTTCCAATATATATTGGAAAATGCATTTTCAGGACTATGGAGACAAGAGAAAGATTTACAAATAAACAAAAAGTTTGCCTTAAGTGAATTATCTTTAACGAAGCTTCACAATAATCAATATTTTACATTTTTTGAGGAAGTATATCTTAATGGAAATGAATTAGCAAACTCGTTGCATCAACTCTCAACTTTACAATATTGTAAAATATTAGATTTATCTTGTAATAAGATTAAGTCATTGAAACATTTGCCTACGTTAAGTAATTTAGAGTTTTTATCTTTACGGTCTAACGAAATATCAGATATCAATGAAATAACAGATCTCATAAAAAGACAGGATAAGTTAATGGCATTAGATTTAAAGGATAATCCTGTTTACGATTCTTATAAGGATAAGGATGAGATCTTGAAAGTTCTTAAAGAACATACTAATTGGGAAGTATACTTACTATAGTAAATAAATTCATATTTTTAAGTGGGTTTTAATGATAAATTATATTTCTTTAAAGTATGTATATGTACATTTAAGATAAATATTTTAAATTATTTAAAAAAAAAAAAATGAAAAATTTCATTTCACTTGAAATCATATTTTAAATAATAAAAATGCACAAATTTAGTTTTCAGTTATGAATTAGTAAAAACAATGTATAATATATTCATTATGCCTATAATACCTTCAGTTGGTAATATTAATTATATGATTTTACCATATTGAATAACGTCACGAATGATATTACCGACGAATTACGAATGGTTGCCTATCATCAGGTGCAATAAAAATATTCTTATAGATAATATAGAAGAAAATCGATGATATTTAATTATCAATCAATTATAATATAAATCAAATAATGAATTAACATAAAACATTTATATATATATCTCGTTAATAAATACGAAAAGAATTGAAACATTTGAAAGTTTTAATTGAACGAGAGCAATTTAAAATGTAGCAATGAAATATTTAAAAGGAACGAAGTGTGTTAATGTATTTTTAAAATTTAAAATTAAAAAATAAAAACAAACAAATCGTTCTCCCTCTCCCCCGATTATGGGTATATTGAGAGAAATCAAAAAGAAAAATAAATAAAATTTACAAATTATTCTAATATAAAAAGATGCAAAAGAAAGTGGGACCGGATGAAGAGGAAGTAGAAGAGGGAAAACAAAAGTGAGATAAATCAAGTAAAAGAAAAAAATATCTAAAATAAAAAGAAAAAGAGGAAGACGATAAATGAAAAAAGGGCACGTATGAAAGTTAGAAGGGAAAGGAAAAAGCTGTAATGCACAAAGTGGTGTAGCCTTCAACAAAGTTCGAGTGATGCGGTAGGGTGTCGTGAATGCGCATTGGCTTAGGAACTCCCCCGTATGATGTTGTTAACGCGCATCCTCTAGGTTTCCCGACCACGACCGTCAGTATGCGGTCGTGTATTCCACGCGGGCACACCTGTTTGCTATTTCTTCCTATAGCATTAGAATTTCAACGCGACTTATGTTCACGCACAGACTTACGTGTTAGAGGTATAACACACAGATACACACATACA